CCCTGAGTCTGCAGCCCGTGCTCACGGGAGAACAGGGCCGTGGCTTGCCCTTCAGTGTGGGCTTAAGTTGGTGTGGCCTTCCCACGGGACCAGCAGCTGGGCTTCCGGCCTACGACCTTCTGTGACTCTGAATCTTCCCCAGCGTCTCTGGATGTCTGTTCCTGCAGGGACTGGCGTGGTGCCAGAGGAGGGGTAGAGGCCCCAGCAGGCCCCGAGTCCCCGAAGGTCAAGCAAACAAAGATCCGCAAGCCACACCCTGGCATCTGCTTCCCATATTCCTGCGGCTCTAGACCCAGACCTGCAGGCCCCCGGCCGGGCCCCGTGCCCAGGGCGTCTCGGAGGCTGCCCCCCTCCCCCGCTCCCCATCGCCGTTGGCGCTGATTTAGGCTGAGGCTTCTGCCCCCGGTGTCACACCCACGATGGGTTTGGGGTGGCACCTGAGAGCAGACAGGCGGCTCCTGGGAGTGGGGGGACAGCACCGTGCAGCTGTGCGTGGGCCCCCTGTGCAGCATCACGGCCGCTGCCAGAGAACCGCTTCCCTCTCTGTGGGAGCCAAGCGCTCGCCCTCATTAGCGTGTGTTTTAAAACTCCCAAGCCGCCTCCAGCAGGGCCAGCAGGCAGCGATCGGTTGTGAACCCGCAGGCGGCCCAGGGAGGCCTGGAGCCCTGGGACACGGGCCTGTCCTTGGTGCGCCTGCGTCGGTCCCTTCCTCCTGACGTGGTCTATGTGAGGTGGGGTGTGGGCTACTCTTCCTTCCTACGTGCGGGTGACACTGGCTCTGAGCAGCAGGCCGTCCTCCAGGGACTCAGGGTGAACCCACAGCTCTGAGATTGTCGTTCATGGCTATCTCTGCCGGAACGATTTGCAGTTTTCAAAGGACCATCATGTCATCACTCTGGGGTCCCTCCCGGGAGCAGAGCAGGTAAAGTCTCGCTCACTGACAGAGAGAGGGGCCCAGGATTGATCGCCTGGGGCCTTCCCTCAGTGCGTGGGGACTCGGGGATGGGCTGGGTCTCTGACAGCCGGGGTGGTCTCCCGGACCTACAGGCGGTGCGGTGGCCTCCACAGAGAGGCCCAAATAGTGCAGTTCCAGACTGACAGTGAGAAGGATGTGCAGGGTCCTGCCCCAGCAGCCCTGGGCCTTAGGCCCCACTCCTTTCTGCTGCTGCTGAAGGCGGCGGCTGATGTGGCTTGAGGTGAGGCCATGACATGGTCACAGCACTGGGTTCCGTGAATGTCACGCAGGTAGCTGGCTGGCTGAACGGAGAGGCGGTGCGGGGTGCCGTGACGGCACTAAGACACGGTCACTCTGGTTTCATTACCCGGCAGTCCCAGCAGGCTTCTGCAGAGTGTGTAGGACTTGTGTGCACATTGTACCAACCAGACAGAGGCCATCACCCGAAACAGCGTCTCTTCCGTGGTCTCGAATCTGCTCCGAAAGCCGTTCCTTTTGCATTCTTTTCTGTCCATCAGACACGAGGTTTCATCTAAGAGAGGACGGAGTTCGCCAGCAGAAAGCACAGGGCTCTGAGCGCCACAGGCAGCTGGGAATTCTCCTTCCCAGGGACCTGAACCTTCCGGGCAGACGGCAGCAGAATTGTCCCAGAGCCTGGGCACTGATCTTGCATTTTATGTGGCAATGAAATGCTAATGGGGATTGGACACATTCTAATGACCAGCACGATAGTGGATGATCACATACGCTGGTCGGGGAGGCAAACAACCGAACTTGTAAAATTTGGTTTCCCACACTCTCGCCGGGTGGGGGGCGGGGGACAGACACACCCACCGCACAGACGGCTTCCTCTCACACCTGCTGGGCTCCACAGAGCCTGGGCCAGGACCCCGGGCCCCACAGGACAGGGAGAGCGTGTGGTGCCTCGAGGAGGCCGGATCCCAGGCCCTCGGGTTGTGCGGTGCAAAGTTTCACCCCCTAAGGACCCACAAGGCACCGAGTCACTGTGTCTGAGGACACATCAAATTCTCACTTTCCCTTTGCATGCCATCTACCTAGCGGGGAGGTCCCTGCATTTTGTGAATTTACATTTTCATCTGAATTTTGTGATTTCAAAGGCTTTGGGGAATAAGCTGGGCCACATGGGGTCCCTGGAGCCAGTCCCTGGAGCCTCATCGGGCGAGTCCCACGTTCCATCAGAGGCACCTCTCATCCGTGAAGTGGGGTGACCACATCACCTCCGTGGGTTCGGCATGAGCAGAAAATGAATGAATTGTTCATACACTGGCCAGGTACACAGTAGGTGTTCTATAAATGTCCCTGTCTGTTTATAAATTGCCGATTATTTACAAAATTGGACTATCCTGGAGTACTGAGAGGATTCTCAATATGGTATACTTAGGAATTTTAAGAATGCTTTAAAGAAACCGTTTCCTGCTCAGTACTTACTTTTTCAAATTTGGCTGTGCTCTGGACATCGTTTTTACTAGAGAAAAATCTTTTAATGTTAATTCTTGAGAGAGAGACACACACACACACACACACACACACACACACACACACACGGAGCGTGAATGGGGGAGGGGCAGAGAGAGAGGGAGACACAGAATCCGGAGCAGGCTCCAGGCTCTGAGCTGTCAGCTGTCAGCACAGAGCCTGACACAGGGTTCGAACTCACAAACTGCTCGAGATGATGACCTGAGCTGAAGTTGGACGCTTAACCGACTGAGCCACCCAGGTGCCCCAGGGCTCTGGACATCATATACAAAGTGAGCATGTGACCTTGGGGCCCTTGGGTCTAAAAACAAAGCCACCAGGGAGGCAGGGGCCCGGGGACATGGGGGGTGGCCACAGCCTGTTTCTTCTACCAGGTGTCCCAGAGGGCGCCTGGGGCACAGAGCTGTGTGAGCTCACGCCAGTCCCAGGGCACAGGGAGAGGAGGCAGGGGGAGGCACAGCGGTGAGCCCTGCCTGTAGGATTCCTGAGGCCTCCTGACTGCGGGAAGGCGCTCCGTGGTCAACAGGCACACACACTCCTTCTTCCCTGCTGCCTGCTCCCCTGGGATCCGTCACTAAAGTAGCTCCCGTGGGGGGTGGGGGGTGGGGACGGTGTGTCACCTCTGAAGCCCCACCTCCTCGGGGTGCGACAGAAGGGCCAAGGGAAGATGACAGCTTGGGGCGCTCTGATCACCAGCCGCCAGGCAGCACCCCATTTGCAGAGGGGCTCCCAGATCAGACGCGTAAATAAGAGTGCTCACACACATCTCATTACTGGGCTTAAGAGCCGTATCAAGGACCAGGAGGAAAACAATGCATCGTTTTATAGCATTGTAAGTTAAAAACTTGCGCGAGAGGGAAAGCTGGCCTGTCCAAGAGCCTCGCTGTCTCTCTAAGAGAAGGACTATTTTGACAGTTGCAAACTTTCTGGCTTCCTAGCGATGGCTGTCCCTCCCCACCAGACGGCCCTCCCTCTCAATCTGCTTCTCCTGCCGGGCTTAATTGAATGTCCTGATGCGTAGGAAAAGGGTTAATGGCATTGCCCAATCACACAATGTTTTGGATTTGGATTACAGACAGCCAGCAAGCAAGGGCGGCGGCAGCGCGGTAACGAGGCCAGCGCCGTGGGAACAGGCGGACAATGACGGATGGGCAGGGAGCACGGACGGCCCACCTTTGGGAGAAACCGTACCCCACAGCACGCGGGGGGCGGGGGGGAGAAATAGTAGCAGATGCTGCCGGAAAACCAGCAACAGATGCCTTCTGGCCGCGGCTCAGCAGCCAACCGGCTCCCGGCGCCCTGGAGCAGGGGCGCCTCCGCCCCGCCCCCGCCTTTGTGGGAGGGAGGCCGCGAACACGAATATTGCGGAGGAATTAAAAGCAGCAGATGGGGGCAGCAGGGCTTGGGGAGATCGGGGTCAGGTAGAGGCATACATTCGGTGGCAGCATTAATCACACGTTCCTTTGGGGAATTGAGAGCCCAGGCCTCTGGGCGGGCGGAGCGGAGCACCTTGGGGCCCCTCCCTTTCAGCGCCCCCCCCCCCCGCCCCCGTCCGCCTTGAGACGTGGCGTCAGATGTAGCAGAGTTTAAAGAGAACATATGTTGAATATTTGTTAATTCAATTTGTGCTTAAATCATTGGTGTCGGCTGATTCCGAATGCGAAACCTGAAAAGCCCCCTAGGTTTGGTCTGATGCCCGCCCACCGTCCTGTCGGGTGAAGGGCGCTGTTTTCATCATCGGGCAGGTGTTCGCGCCCTTTCCACCTCTTACCTTGTGGCCGCGGCGGCGCGCGCAGCCTGGTTTCCGCGTTTCTGGCACCATCCGTGTTCAGAAGGAAGTTCTTGCGAAGCGTGGATTCCTGAGGAAGGTCCGAGAATGAAGGGTGTCGTTCTCGTGGCCTCCAGGGATGGAAATGGGAGTTTCACTGAGGTGGCCTCCTCGGGAGGCCGTCGTTACCTGGTTAACAGAATGTGACCTTGCGGGGCCACGTGGATGCCCCTGTTTGGTGTGTTTGCTGGGTGTGCCAGGGGTCCCGGCCGATGTAAGGCGTTTGCGCACTTACTCAAGTGCCCTATGAACCATCAAACCTGGGTTTTAAATGCTTTCAGAAAAGACCCAAGACCCCCAGGGTCAGCACACGTGCACAGCCCACACAGCTCGTAGAACCCTCGCAACGTCTGCACCGTGGCTTTTAAGCCACACCCACTTCTTCTCCAGGCACAGGGCTGGTTTCTCGCCATGCGGGGAGCCTCGTGGGGGCAGATCTGGGGGGTGGTGGGGGCTCCTCTGTCTGGGTCCTGCATCCAGGGCACTGTGGCCACTCCCCCACCCCGCCCCCACTTGCCCACCCGCACAGAGCAAGGACTTCGATTGTCTATGACCTTAAAGAATAACTTTCTTGAGGAAAGATCTAGGTAGGGTTTTTATACTTAAAGTTAAAACGTTTCAATTCAAGAGTAATGGCTGGTCCTTCCAGGAAACCCGGAAGGACAGACAGGTGGTTGTGTCTGACCAGCCACAGGTCGTGTCTCAGTATGTGTTTTTCAGGCTTTTCTCCACACACAATGGTCTGTTTTTAGGCACTCGTAGGTTGATTACACACATAATTTCACCTCATGTTTTTCTGCTTTATGTTATGATGGAAGCATGTCTCTGCCCTCGAAGTGTTATCTTTTCTATAGAACATTCCTTTGAGTCACATTGTTTTTAAATGTTTTTTTCATCTTTCTAATATTTGTTTCGATGTTTGAAATGGATAAACTCTTTACTTTTCTGGATAAGGCTGGCATGAACTTGTTTTGGAAATATTTTCTTTGCCGGAGCTCAATTTATTTCTTTAGGCTAATTTCCCAGGGGTAGAAAGTGGGATACATGTGGGAGCCTGAAAAAGATACTTCCCTTTTATTTCTGTTCATAGAGGCAGCGCATACTCATTGTGGATATTTTGGGAAGGTTCCAGAACACACTGTAGACCCTCAGTCCGTGAGCCTATCTCATCTGATGGGAGGGTGCAGGCTTCCGGGGGACTGTGTCTTCAGGTCTGTCGGCTGCACAGAAGTGTCCTGTCTGAAGCAGTCTGGGCACACAGTGTGTGCTTTGTCCTGGAGACGTGTGCCGGGACCCTTTCCTCGCTGGAGTGGAGGTCGAGCGATGTTTCCTCTTGTCTTCGCTCGTTACAGGGACGTGAGAACTCAGCAGAGGGTTCTCTGGAGGGGATACGGGCTCTCCTGAGCTCTCCCCTCTCTTCCTGCCTCTCCTGGGACTGAGGCCCACGTGGTGAACCCTTTTGTCGTCGGGAAGCTCCAGGTCCGCTGGGCCCGCGTCGTGGGCTTGGGGGCACCCGTGGCCTAGGGGCCGAGGGGGTGGCTGATACAGTCTCTGGGTCCACCAGCGTGGGCTGTCCTGCTCTCGTGGGACTCTTAGATCTGGGCAAATACTGGTGCCTGCTTCTGGGGGGCAGGCTGGCTTCTGTCACCTGCTCGTCAAGGGACCATGTCCCTCAGAACGTTTAGCTCTTTGGCCTAGAGGGAAAGACTGTCGGGAAGTTAGAGACGCTTGGCAAGAAGGCTGGTTGGATACCAGGTATGTGAGTCACAGAGGGAGGCGGCTGCTTCCCGGACACCAAACCGCCTGCTTGTGTTGGTTCGGAACACGGTTCTTAATGGTTTTATGTGTATTCTGCCATTACAAATACGTGTTGTTATGGCCGAGTTTGCGCTATTTGGAGTTGGCGGCCTTTCTT